TATTATTGAACTTAATGTTGTTTTTATCGATGTAAAACTTGCCCCAAAAGTGAACAAAGCATCCTGTGAAATGTGAACGCGCACGAATGACTGTGTACGGTAATCTTTGAGAAGGTAATAATTATCCGATGAATTCGGGTGAATACTTGCAATGGACAGTCACGCAGACACATAATAAAAGTTTGTATGGATGTTGTGGAATAGACATTCGGTGAGTTCGAAAGGCAAATAGCAGTTTTCCCATTCATTTAGATGGATTCAGAGTTGTGCGAATTTACCTTGGCCGAATTCGTTTTTGATTTCGAATTCCATATTTTTTCATTCGCATGGTCTTAGCCTGGCAAAATTGAACGTTTCACCGGTTACATTACTCACACACTCCGCCATTTATTTTTTATCTTCGTTGTTAATCGGATGAGGTCTTTCCTTTCATGTTGAAATTGCACTAATGCTAATAATAATTATCATGCTCGTATTAATTGTAAGTGCTTTGTTGTTGTGTCCTTCATTTTCTCTAATTGCATAATCTGTTCACTCTTGAAACCTGTAGACAAAACAATGCGCTCTGCTTAATCTTTTTCTCTCTCTCTGCCTTCTTTAACATTTCCATTTCCCTGCTGTTTCCTTCACTTTATAATGGCAACTGCAACTACTTTTCGCGTTCACCCCGATCGTGCGCGTACCGTGGTAGACAATGCTAAGCACAGTGAACTGATTGGTTGGTAGGCTGAAACCAGCAATGACAAACTTCGTGTTTCCACTTGAACCTTTTGTCATATAACTATTTTTCAGTCTAGGGCATACTGATGCATCATTCATCTTAACAAATACAGAAACAAAACGTACAGCGTTTGTGAAAGCACAATGAAAAATAATCAATAAAATTCTATTCGGACAACAGAACGCTTTGGTTTGTTTGCTTGTTTACTGCGCTCAAATATTTTTTCTGTGTGTGTGTTCATTGTTTGCGATTTATGATAAGGATCGGGGAGCACATAAAATACATTCACACCCCTTACCTTGGTTCCAATGGTGTCGCCAGCCATCGATAATACGAATCTTTAGAGCCCCAATCCAAAACACCGGTTACTTCAACCGAATAAACTACGGTGAAACCACTATTCAGGAATAGAAATCAACCAACGAATCAAAGATGGCCTGGGATTTTGCTCTAAAGAATACAAAAATGCAAACAAATTCACGTGACCAAATTCAATGAAATGAATCCATTTCCGATGAATATTAATTATTAAACCTAGTCACGTTTATCCACTCGCCACCAAGAAATGTCAACAAAGCGCTCTCAGCATAGCGAGTTCTCGTCGAAACCCACTCTTTTGACCGCTTTAACTTTGTGTCAAGCAAAAGACTAGTACGTCCCCCCCCCCCCCCCCGTAAAAGAACGGTCATCTTTGTAGTTTTTGCAGTTCTATTATAGGTTTGCTGATCGAACAACTGCTCAGACATCAATCAAGCCACCGAATCATTTCCGTTTGGGGGAATGCATTCCGAAGATCAAAGTGTTGGTGATACTTCCTTTGCCTGTTCCTATATTCTTTCTTTTTTATTCATATGATTGCGTTTCCAAATTCCTTTCTGTGTTTGTCCCAGTTTTAAACCTTCTGTCTGTTCTAAGGGATTTAAAAAAGTCAAGGTTGGTCCAACTCGGACGTGATATGCAGGTATAAAAATTTCTAAAATTTAGGTCACATCGATGGCTCCGTGGGGTCGGGATGATGGTTAGATACACTCGGTGGCGTGAAAAATGTCGCTCGTTTATTTACTCAATGTCTGTATGATCTTAAGCTACCTCAATTCGCGATCTTCTTCACATTCACACTGCTTCTAATATTCCGTTTACCCCTTCATCTGAGTGGTTAGTCAATCCAAACCAACTCAGGAACGTGCAACGTTATTGGTTTTATAAACTTCAACGGGAACTCAAAGTAGTAGTAGTAGTTTACTTAGTCCACACAGATAATTTCCAACAACTGCTTTTCTCCTCCTTGTACTCTGTCCCGTTTTCTATTCAGGCTGCTCTGATTTCCAAAGCTCCGCTTCCGTTCAGTCGCTCCGAATTAGATGTGCTCCGATTCACAAATGAGGTGAACGATCTCAGTCAGCCCCGATGCACCTGTGTTCGTCTCCTCTCCAGTTTGTCAGGTCATCGCACTGCGGCGCATTTGGACGCTGACTCATGGGCAGCAAGTTTGGGTGTGTTCCGTCGTAATTCGGCTGTTCTGGAAGATTCTTCCACGGACCCGGTCGCAGGTGACAGAGAAGACAACAGTCCATCGGCAATACCGAAGCGTGAAACAACCCTGACCTCGTCCACATCAAAGTTGTTAGATGACACGTTAAGTTGTTGCCAGAATCAATGCAAGGAGTTTGCCGATTGTCTTTTGAATCGCTGTCAGTGGTCCTCATTGTTAACACGCTATGCTGATTTAGTGAACAAATTCATTGTAAGCTTCCATCCATTTTTCATTGGTGATTACTTTGTTTGCACTATACATACGTATATATTATTTAAACTAAATCTGTCCTGTCATGGTCGCTTTTGTTTAGGTATGCCAGTTTACAGCTTTAGTTAAATCAAATTTGTCAAACTGCGTTTCGCTGCTCTGTTTTCTGTCCACGGATGCACTTTCTGGTTTGCTAGAATCTTTCTTTGTACGATGAACTCTGTACTCGCGTTTATCGTATGATCTTTAATCTGCTGAACTACTCAGTAGTGGGTTATGTAAAGTTGACCGAGTGAGAAGCCTAACATCTACCTGACCACTACCTTTCTGTTGTTCACAAGGAAACACCGAATCGTCATACACACACACACGCCATCGTTTGGGTCTGGCTTCGTTTTGAAGAACAGTGTATGTACCCTTGAATTGTATAACTCTACAGGCTGTTTTCCCCTCCATGTTCATTTGTAACTTATAATGTGCAAGACTGTTCGACGCTCAATCAAATTCCAATATTTGGTTGAAAATGTCTTCACCACGTAGCTGTTTCCGTAATCCGTAGTTGCGCGTGATCTATACGTATGTGGCTTGTATTGGAAAGATTGACGATAACTTCCGCATATAAATGAATTGCCCGCAATACAACACATGTTTAAGCTAGATAACTTCTCCAGAAGCGATCCGTTAAAACTTTGTCACTGACTGACACTCGGGCTCGCTTATTCACATATTCGTACGCGCACATGCGTGGTGGTCCGGATTGCCTCGGTCACGAATAGTCGGATCACCTGGCCTCCCCGCAGCTGTCATCTGCTGTGATGTGCTGGTCATCCCACCATGGGTGTGTGCGTATGCACGTGAGTATGTCCTGTTCTGTCTATATCTAATGTCTGCTTTTGTCGGTTTGCGCGTGCACACACACAAACACATTCGGGTGTCCAGAATCAGGCACATGTACGCAAAAATCGCCACCAGCCGTGCCTACGTCGCTCACCACGTCGACCCGATCGCATGCATTTGACTGAATGTTTCGACCAATCTTCCTGTCTGCCCACTCCACCCCAAGTCCAACACACGAAGGCTGCCGGTGGCAGGGTTGATGGCCACAATGTGATGGCTGGACGATCGATAAAACTAGCATGGTTTTCACATCGCGTTTGCATATCCCTTCATGTCTAATCGGCTCGATCCAATCCAATTTCACAATCCGTGATCCGGATGGACTTTCCGGCAGCCGTTATCCTACTCGTCCGTACCGCAACCCCTCCCCACGCTTTTTAATCCCGCGGTAGGATTGTGTCATCGACAGTCATCTTCATCCATACCGGGCTATCCGCCACGTGTTATCCCACCGTCTCCCACCTCATGTAAGCCGCAATCACGTGATCCTCAATGATCTGATCCTTCTTTTTGCCATTGTATATCTGCCCCTGTGTGTTTGTCTACTGCTGTCCACCGACCAGCGATACTTCCGCCTACCAACGCCCACGCTCCTCATCCCAACACAGGCACAGGATACCGATTGCTTACCATGGCAGATACAGTCGGTAAAATCCCAGCCGGGAATCTGCATACTTCATTCTGTCGGTGGTTCGTCCGTCCATCATCTCGCGTTTGTCTCATCACATCCGATCTGTTTTCACGGCCCTGCCTTTCTGACCATTGCTCCTAAGCATCCTGATGTAAATATGAGCACGGAAGGATCAATCACAATCAGCCTGTTCTTGCCATTGCATCGTCGTAGTCAGTCCTCATTCACCCATAAGTTTATTTCGCAGCTCCATTTTCGTAGTCCTTTACAGTACCAGTAAACCGCACCCCCCTCCACAAGTGCAGTCTTTTTTTCATGGCATCAAAAGCCTCTGGTCTTTTATATCAATACGATTATTTTTACATTTGATTGGTTCGTAAAAAGGAATCAAAAACTTTTATGAATAAACGTGGAATTGAATGATGTCAGCTCGAGAGGACAGAATTTTTGTTTTAGTACATCAGAGCTAAACCTTTTCTATCTGGAATATTGCTCCGTATCCCAAGCCAGAATAGATTGAGATGCTGATAGTTGAAGCTTGAACTCATCCAACCGAATCTCACAAAATAGTTGGCTTCGCTGCGCACTGTATTAATGTTTTGGTGCTACCGACAGAAGAATATTTGGGCGTGTGAATATCTCTTTTCTTCACCGTATCCTGATAGTCAACTAAGAGCTGAAAGAACAAAAGAGTGAAAGTTGTTAACAGGGTGCACATGTACTATTTATTATGCAAGATGACGTGGGATATTGTCACGTGAAATACATCAACTATGAATGAGTAACGCAACCCTATCATCCGTCAACAGAATAGCAAAGGCATGGAGAGAGACCAAGTTCGGCTATTCACATTAATGCCTATCTACTTCTGAATGTTAACGTTGTTCCACATCGAACAAACCCAATCCTGGATTCAAATCAGACTTAAAACCCATAAAATAGTTGTCTGATCGTTTCTGTTGAAAGATCAAGTATGATGGTTGAACTTATCTTTGATGCTCACCACGTTCACAGATCAACCAGTTGAATGTATGACACTAATGGTTCGCACGAGATGGGAGAACAGTATGTTCAACTGGGTTTGTGTGAATAGGCGGCAGATTGTTGACACAACATAGCGGATTTCCAAGCTGGAAGCATTTTATTGACTTTAGATATAAGAACCGTTTTCCTGTTCATCAGCATTTGCCTGGATCGCGGTCAACCATGAATGTTAGATAGCGGCTGTTATTAATTTTCAGCCACAGCATCCCAAAATTACTTCTACTTAAATCAGCCTCCACTATCCTACTTTAACCAATCATGCGTAATACGTTGACTAGTATGGGTTCACTTTGTAGATTTTCAACTGTTTGTTCGAGATTGTTTCCTCACCTCGGTTACCGTTGTTTTACGTCGCATTTCAGGAGTCTGGTAAAACGATCGGACAAGTAATACGGAAGCTGTACAGCTTACCGATCGGAAAACTGGATGGACTTAGGAGCAGAGGCTTCCTCCCGATGATAGAAGTCTTTGTATCTTATTAGACATCTGCCATCCTCCTAAGTTGGCAGTCCTCAACCATTAAGTTGTCTCGTGCAAAATCCACCAGTCTCGCTAGGAACACGCGATCAAGAGTAAACCACGAATCGCAGATTGATAACCAACTAACTAGACAACAAATAACACAATCGAGACTCCAAAGTCTGACTTGACTAATCTGTAGAAGCTTCCTCACGGGTACTCCGGTCACTTCTTCACATCTTCGATTGACTGTCCTGTGGGTCAGACTTCTGAGTCAAAGGCTTTGGTTGGAGTTCCCCACCGGTAGCTTCTTGGTCGGTGGGGGTTACCTCGAAGAATATTTTGTCACTTTGGGAACCATCTTTTCTCCCCATAACATCATTCGATCCCCGCACACATTATTGCATCGGCGAACAAACGGCCTTGGTCATAGCCCTTGAAACTATCAATATAGGTGGACTTTGTGTCTCATAAACACGCGTACCATATGCAACTTAAATTATCACGCCGCATCTCTCAAACCTGACCTCATCCTTCTACATTACTCTTCGTTGTTTATCGCTCGTGGTGTTGTCGGCTTCAAGATTATGCTGTATTAGAACAGCGCTACCTTCAGGGCTGGATCCAACGTAGTGGTCTATTGTGCACTGTACCTCTCAAGGGGTCAGTGCAAATCAACAGCAGCAGAACGAACTGCCGCGGTTTAATCGCTCTCTGCCTATATTCACTGACACTGATTTCAACTCCCGTGAAGTGGAGGATGACTTATACAAAGATATCTCTGGATTGCTTTAAACCGTTCGCTCGAAACCCTCCGTTATTGCTGAGGCCGCTCTTGGCATTCCTGGACGAATCAGTAAGCCACCTAGACCACCCGCATACAACCCGGAAAACAGCGAAGGGCGCCTACTTCACTTATGTGCAGATCACAATTTGTTTCTCTCAAGCACAAACTTATGGTAAACAAGAGATGTCACCTCATAGGGAAACCACACCTTTCACATCATAGGATTCAGGTCGATCCCATGACTATTGCCTACCTCTGGTGAGGATCTACTCAAGCCTGCCTCTCCTTATTGTATACGATTTTGAACACGGTCGTGTTTTGGTACGAGGTCGGTTCAGACGATTAAAACCAGACAGATGATATTGTCTTACTGGGTGACAACGTACCACCGATTCAAGAGTCGTTGGACCGTTTGGCAATTAAGGTTACTCGCTATGGTATGTCATTTGCACCTACAAAGTGCAAAATGTTGTTGCAGGATTGCGAGGAACCCATTCCTGCACTTTCGTTAGGTAATGACACCCTGAAAGTAATCGAAAGCTACGTCTACCTCAGGAGTTGCATAACGCCTGGTGGAGGTGTGGACGAGGAGATCTCTCGACGCATGATCAAAGCTAGGTTAGCGTTTGCTAATCTGCAGCATCTCCGGCGCCAGTGCGAAATATCCCTTTCACTGATGGCTGTGTATTGCACAACCGAGCAGATCATGTCCAACGACTATCCGTCTTTGACAACCGTTGTTTGCGCAACATCGCCCGAGTATGGTGGGAGCATCCGGTGAATAACGATGAAGACAGACGACGGGTGCTAGGATCAGATAGTCTTTCGCTGAGCAAAATAATCTCACAGCATCGTCCTATGTGGCTAGGGCACGTCCTACGAATACTTGAACAACATCTGCCACATCGTGCACTATTTGCAGACATCGGACCAGGCTGGAAGAAACAGCGAGGTGTTCAGGCTATGACGTGGCGCAAATGGTTAAGTAGACTGCGCGGATTTGACTTCCGTTGAGCCTTCCCAGCTGGGGCCCCAAAGATTCAGATCGTCTTTGGCTGGAGACTGCGGGATATGGCTTCGAACCGAAGTCAGGGGCGTAAATGCATCCTCTGATGTGCACAATCCCTGAAATATAAAAAGTTCAAAACTGCGTACAGTAATCAAACAAAAGATTTGTTACTTCTCAAGTTTACTGTTTTATTTTCCCCGCTTCTATACCTATATTTTTTCTTTAAGCCATGGTCATTTGGTTCCGTATCTATAAAGATTGGTGTGATATAAGGAGATATAAATGATGGAATTTGTAGACCAGTGCTACCGTTTTAGACATTAGAAAAATCGTTCCCCGGGACGCTAAATATGACACTGCGCAGATCCCTTGAACGTCTTGTCAAGTGTTAACGAATCACAACAGTGGTTTGCGATCAGTCAGAATGCCCCAAATCGTTTTTCCTAACCTATTTCGTCCAACTTCTGATCTTCCCCGTAGTGCTTGGCTTGTAAAATGAGAAACTTAAATGATTTCTTTCGTAATCAGAACTGATAAGAAACAAACTGATTGACCCATTTTGCGTTTCGGTAAGAATTTTGATTCGGTCCTTTTTTCTGGCCTCGCATCCTCCACCGTTATTTCAGAGTAATAACTTTGGTGCCTCTTCTCTGGTGGAAAACAAACAATTGGCTCATTTTCTTCGCTTACACGCGTTACGGGAACAGGGCCTGCCTGATTCTCTTGATTTACTTTTTGCCTGTCGCATCAATGAGCACTTTCTGTACCGAAGTTCAGCAAACTCAGTTCACGCAACTACGGCCATTGATCAACCCATTTCCATCGAGTTTTCCCAAAGCGATAGCAGCAGGCCTCAGCCCCAAGATCAACGAGTCACTAACACGTCAACACCACACACAAATACCGCCTTAGAAACACAAAATCCGATCGATCAGGTGTCGAAGACTGGACTCCACCTTACCTTGATTGATACAGGGGTTTATCCGAACTGGGAACTTCCTAAGACAGCAGCCTCCACAACCAAAGAATGCTGTGTTCTCTGTCCACCGAAAAATGAATCGACTACCGTTCCAGTTTCTAACGCCGTTTCTGCTGTCAAGATGAGTCCTTCTGTCGCTCATCAACCGGTTCCTTGTGCGGTTTGTGAAACTTCGGATATGATCTCCACGAATTTCAAGACGAAATCTTCCGTGAGTATCCGTTATGGAAGATTTTCACTGAACGATATTGACACAGTTGCATGTTCGATGTTTTACTCTCCAATTTTTTCCTCAACCATTCCAGATTAATTAGGTTGAAACCTGGTATAATCATTTGCATTTATTCATCAAATAGCAGTTGACCTTTACTCCGATAATTTTTTGTTGTTAATTCACGTACGGTAGATGTGTTTTCATAGGTACAATGTGTTTCATGAATTTCTGAATGTGCCCCCTTCAGCTGGAGAACACACAGTTAGAATGAAGTCAGGAACTGAACCAGATCTGTCCTGTAACGGTATTTTATACTTTTGATGTGCAAAACGCACGTCGAACGCGACTACAATCAAACCATTTAGAAAAACCTGTAACTTAGCAGTGCGACATCGTTTGTGTTCTCCAGATAAGACAGCCTGCCACCTGAAAGTATATCGTGCCCACTATTCTTGCGCGAGAACAGCGCTATTTGAAGACTTACATCCATTACGAAGACGTATAGACAAAGAAAGAAAGTAACCCTGACTAGTGCCGCGAACTCAGTTGAGGAGTCCTGAGCTCGAACCAGGCCTCTGATATTCCTGTAATTTTTTCATTACTCTCATTTTCGTGTGATTGGAAACTTTTGATTTTCATTGTAACATTCAAAATATTCTTGAATAATAATGTTACCGAACATTGACAGTCTCATTTTGTTCTTAGGGTTGCATAACAATAGACCTCTTTCCCTCATTCTACCGGTATGTTTATGGAGCTATATATTCTGACAGACAGCACGAAATAAGGAGCCAGAAGTCACTCCAGTTTTTGCTGATCTTTATCGAAGATGGCAACCGACAAGGTTTTCATGATGTTGATACTATATCTGGTTGTTGAATTAATGAAATTTTACCAAATCTTCGTATTAGCTATTTCGCTGTCTTTCCATAAGTAGCTTCTGTAGTACATAAACTATTAAGATTTTGCTTCATATCTAACTCAGTTACTTGTGAGTAGTGGTTTCGGATAATTGATATTGATTGGGACTTCCTTCAAACTTCACTCTCAGTTCTTCCAGTCAACCATACACCCGGAAGCACTAGTTAGGGGCTTAGCTCTTATTAGTGAATACAGTAATTCATATCCAGCGTCCCATCGGAGTGTGTGTTGCCTTTGTGCCAACCAACCCACATCATGGCCGGACATGATTACCGATTCATATTTACTCAGGTATTGTCTTGAGTGATAATCAGTTCATTTTTGACGATCGAAATCAGTAAAATCCTCTTCCAGATTGCACTTTCGACGTTTGTTTGCAACTACTGAACAATCAGCTAGTAGTTGCTTTGAGAAAACTGAAACAAGCCTCTCCCGAGATTAATTTGAAAAGAAAAGACCATATTGCAATCCTGCACGATTTATGTCCAGGACGATTTCACTGCATCTCAACATGGTGCATACTGCAGAAAATACAAAGTTTTTATAGGGTTTTAGCATAGCAACAGAGTGAGGTAAAATACATTAAAAACAGACAAAACATAAAAGAGGGAGGGGTAAAAGGACCATATCACCAGGGTAGGGAGAGACTAACATACAGTTCTTTTTGCTGGCACAGGGGGGCTTCCATCGATTAATGGCAGCTGCTTCAGCAAACCTTAGCAATCTTGCGACTTGTAGACAATTCGAAACGCTGTGCTTCGGTCGACGTGGTGTTGCGTCATCAGCAGATGTCCAGCAATGGCTGAGGACGGAGTTTTGTAGTTTTGACCGTCGTTTCTATGCGGCGGACTTGACCTCAATTCGGTCAACTGATTTTGGACCCAATTTGGAATATGTTCCACCACCCGATTGCGTAATTGTCGCTCTGTTCGGCCCACATAGGTCGCTCCGCAACCACATTGGAATC